TAGGCAGCTTTGTCTTAAAATCAGTCGAGTCATAAAAGCATGTAAGTCTTAAGACTCCATGCTAGGGGAAATAACAGATTGCTATGTAGCAAGGCCTCATTATTAAGCAGCGCCTTCCCCCATATAATTCCCTAACTTCTTTAATTGCACAAGAAACCCCCAGTCCAGTAAGAAAAATGCAGCATTTGGCAATGCTTAACTTTAAACAGGGGACAGAAGACTGGAAATCAAAATGGTAAGGGATTTTGGGAAAGAAGTGTCCATTACCTGGAACTGAAACAGCCCTTCCTGGTCATCTATCGGGCTCTTTTCAATCACTTTCTAGCTCCTACTGTAATCCTGCAAGTCCCTTATGTTCACTTCAAGCATATTCCCATTTCAACACTACATCAGCCTGATCCTTCTATCAAGTGAAAAGCAGTTTTCCATATTGGAGCCTTTGGAAACCAGGTAAATATGTACTCATCACCCAGATGGGACACTCGCTTATAAAGATGTCCCATTTATCTAGAGTTGTCAGCATCCTCTCTACAGTTCTGAAATAAATTTCTACAAAATGTTGCTGCGCTTTCGCAGATGCTGTCACAGTTACTATATATAGACACAGAAGACAAAAATCAATGCTATTTTAGGTGACTGCTCCTAGATTTCTCATTAAATAACTTACAGAAAACAGGAAAGTGTGAAAAACCTTTAAAAAGCATCCCATGTATTTTCATGGCCATACCCGGTTAATTTGAGTGAAAAAGATGGGAAATATCCTCACAGACTGCCGATCTTTGAAAATTCTGTATTATCTTAACTCACGATTTGTAAGTAAGCCTCTCTTCTGGCACTGAAGGAGAGGCTGCTACATATCAATTATCTTGGAGAGAGAGATCAATTTTTAAAGGCCAAATGAAAGGATTAGCTGTCCACTATTTTGTCTGCGCTATACATTGAAGGATTACGATTCTGCAGAAAGCAAGGGAATGGTTTGTAGCTGTCAGAGGATGACAGACGAACTAGAGAACACAGAAAAGCAGAAGTTCTCTACACTGATTCAGAAACCGCGTTACAGAGCAAAACACCTTTCACCATATTTCATTAGCTTCCTTTCTTTACTGTGGGAAGAAGACAGTCAGTATTTTCACTGCCTTTGAGCGCCAAGTTACCTAGAATTACAAAAACCAAGTGGCAGAGAAATGCAGGAGGAAGACTGCATTTGCGGGTTTTTTTCCCCCTCTTCTTTTTTTTTTAATAGTAAATATAGGACCATGCTAAAGAAGGGAGAAAAACAAAGTTAGATGAGTTTAGTCTAGCTACTAATCAAGTTTGAGCTTGGAAAACATGTGAACTTCAGGGGTTTGTCTGCACTAGATATTCAAGGTTTCAGGGTTTAAATAGAAAACCCCACAACAGTGTAGGACCCAAGCATTTTCCTACTGCACATCAAGAAAGGACAATATTAAAGTATCTGTAGTTGTTTGTGAAAATTAATTCCCAAGCTTTCTCAATGCATATACTTTAAAAAACAGGCACAACTTTTCAGGAACGCTTACAGCAGCTTTAGCGGTTAAAACTAGGAAGGAACAAAGACAGGAAGGGCAAGGGGTCACGTTTCATCAGAATTTGACTAAGCTCCAGCTTAATGTGGGTTGTGCCTGCTGTTTGAACAGTATGGAAAAAACACCATGACAAAAAATTCACAATCTTCAGGAATTTGAAAACAAAACAGGCACAACTTTTCAGGAACGCTTACAGCAGCTTTAGCGGTTAAAACTAGGAAGGAACAAAGACAGGAAGGGCAAGGGGTCACGTTTCATCAGAATTTGACTAAGCTCCAGCTTAATGTGGGTTGTGCCTGCTGTTTGAACAGTATGGAAAAAACACCATGACAAAAAATTCACAATCTTCAGGAATTTGAAAACACTCCTTGGAACATAACTCTTGCGTACTTCCCTGGGATGGCTCTACTCAAACCGAATCCAAGAGTAGCGGGGGAGAAGGCATGTACCTCTGTAACCACAGAGAGAAAGGACTGCTCTGAAACTGCAATATGCTTCCACTCAAATTGAAAAAAAAAAAAAAAAGGGGGGGGGGGGGGGGAAACCCGGTTTTTTTTTTTGTGGGGGAGCAGGAATCCTGATTTTTTTTAGTCTTAAAGCGATATAAACAAACAAAAAATCTATCCATACTGCTGTAATTAATAAGCAGGACGCCAACTGCTTTATTTCCAAGTGGTAAGTAAACAGAGATGCAAAACAGAACCAACGTATTCCACACACGTCACCTCAAGCTCACACCAGCTGTGAAAGGATGCCGACCAATGAATGAAAGTCTTCTCCATGCTCCTCTCATCCAACAGCACTATCAGCCAGCCAGTTAGTTTTCTCATTACATTTGCATAAGCACTTTCCTTTAATGAAATTCCTGCATGCTGAATAGGAGAATCTTCCTAATTACACATACTATGTTACAAGATTGTTTAGTTTACTACTTACATACTGCTGAAAGCATTTCCTCATTTTTATGATGTTCCAGCAGCAAAAAGAGTATTTTTAAGGAGTTTTTACCAAGTATTGCTTCTGAACAAGTCTCTCTCACTTTTATCCCCCTCAATACCTGCAAATTTTGATAATGCTTTTGAAGCAGGAGCTCGTGAAAAGAACAAAAAAAGCCTACCCCACTTAGAGACCACCAGTGAAAGGCAGCAGTGGCTATACTCAAGGACAGAGCTCCACCAGCAGCTCTTGCAAAGAATCCTAAAGCCAATTTATGTTCTATTAAATATTTCCAAATATGCACACTGAAAAGAAAAAAAAAGCGTGTACAGACATCATCCAATTCTCCACACACCTACATGATGCAAAAAGGCATACTATAAATTATGACTCTGGCAGAAGGAAAGCGTGACCCATCAAGGTCCTTAATATGTAGCTAAGGTTTCCTGATTTTTATGGAGTAGACCAACGCTGGATCACTGAGCAAAGGATACCCTTACATCTCCATCTCCCACTTTCACATTTTTTTAGATCTATTTTTAGCTTGATCAATATTTTAAAAGAGGATACAATGCACACAAAGCTCTATCTATAGCCCTTGGGGAAAAAAAAAAAATCTACATCCTGAAAAAACCTGCAGTCTGACATACATATTTTCTATCCTCAGTTCACTTAAATTCACTCATGCACATGACTCTGAAGACAGGCTGACAAAACATTAATTAATTGAAAAATCTCAGTTACAGAAGTACTTCAAATATGAAAATTATTTTCTACATTATCCTGTCCACATTTCATGTGTACGCTACTATTCTGTCTCACTTCATTTATTTTATTACTTGTTTATACAGTATAGCTTAACAGGAGTCTCAATGTTTATTTTTTTGCTAGTGTGAAGATCTCGGCATATTCCTGGTCTTTAGAAAAGTCTGCGTCATAGTTAATAATAACAATTTTGAAAGACTGTGCACTGTGAGTTATTCTGGAATAAGTTACTGTCAAAGTAAGCAATATTAATCAAGTTAAATTTCAGTCCTTTAATCCAATTTAAGCCAGAATTATGCTGGTTTATATGAATTAATGTGTTTATATACTGATGTAAGTACATACTTAGACTTATACACTAAAGTAAAACCCGTAACTCAGATCTTCATGGACTCTGGATGCCTAGGGTGATGCTAGATCCCGTATTCTCAGGTAACAAGAGCTGAGGCACATGAAAAATGGTGCAGATGACATACGTGTGCATTGCTGCATGTACCTGTAAACCAACAATATCCGATGGCTGAACTCGCAGTACAAAAAAAACCTCTTTCCCTTCAAAAAGAAAGTGAACATGGAGTTCTGCGCTTAAAAACCACTGGAAAAGTCTGTAGCTCATTAGGAAGCATGCAGTACTGGTATGTAACCATTAAAAAACCACTATGAATTTTGGTTTGAGACTGCTAGAATTTATACACTGTGCTTTTGACTCACTGCTGCTAACTGATCTTGCAAAGATGCTTCTCCTCTCCACAAGTCTCTCAACCCAACACTTGTGGACTTCTGTCAATAATATACACATATGCTGTCAATGTGGTATCTCAGCTTTGATAGTTCAGCATTATTCCTTCGCTGTCACTACAAAAAGAATATGCGCTGCGGAGTCTGAAGGTGCTTATATCCTTCATGATAACTTCTTGAAGCTGCTGATTTGAAGGGGACTAACTACCTTTATTACCTTTGTTTCAGAAACTATTGCTAAGGAAATAAATGCACTTATCAATTAACCACCTTGTAGCAACTGCATAATGTTTAAGATGAAGAATCAGTCTTTGTATATATATTACATTAACTATGCACCAAGGAACCGGGAGAGAGATATTGTCCACCTGGGTAAAATCTATAGCATCGCTTATGCTTTATTCTTGAGTAACGATGCACTGCAGAGCATATGATAAGCAGTTCCACCTACACTGGGTAACTAATCAAACACACACATCTGTATTTAGCATAAGGTTTTCACAGACTTAAGAGAAGCATATTATTTAAGCTTTTATCCTTCACTCAAAATAAAGGGATTTAGATTGGCTTTCTGCTACTTCTAAATCAATCCAGGAAATAATACCCTCATGTTTTCCAGAGAGTCAACTTGCCTTCATTTGGCATTCATTTGATATTTGTGAAACAGTATTATAATGAAATTATGATAATTTTCCAGATTCAATCTTACTTCAAAGCAGAGTACCAGACAACAAAGTATTCTGTCTCAGTATTTGGCAGGCAGAAATACTTGCTAACTGCATTTTGAAGGGAAGTCCCTTTATGGCTATTTTCTCTTTTCCACATAGGTACAACTGCTCAAGTCTCACAGTCACTGCCACAGCCACCCTGAAAGGCACCCATCCCGCACAGCGCTCTGAGGGTACCGAAATTCAGGGTGACTGTTAGACCCAGGAGCTAGAGTGCTAGAACATAACGCAGTAGCACTGCACCCTCTTCTGGCCAGTGACACCCTTCCTGCCTCCCTGGGCTGGAGCCGCGGGCCTTCCAAAAACGGAGAGCAGAGGCACAAACCCCAAACCCCAGCCAGCAGCGCTAGCAGCAGAAGTAGCCATCGTCCCGGTCTTTGCTGGCCCTCCGTTTCCAAAGGAAAACACACAACCTGTGAACTGCCTGCAGTGCAAGCACAATGTTATGCTGAGCTAAATTTCTAAGCTCGAATTCTGTGCGGTGGCAGAGCAGAAAGGCAAAGTCTGAACATCTCAGCCACCCTCAACACATGCCTCCCCCAGCAACTTGAGACGCACGTTACTTGCTGCTGCCTCACCTTCCTCTCTGCCAGCACAGCCCTCGTGCCATGCGCGCAACATATGGGGTGCTAGAACAAGACCTGAAGCAACTGATTTCTATTATAATTTTACTTGAATCCTGTAACACCTCTAGGATGCCACCAAGCAAAGACACAGACACACACATTAGAAATACTGCCGGGCAGGCGTCTGTGCTGCAGTCAGCAGGTGGCACCAAGGACTCACCTGCAGCACCTAGGCTGGAACCTCCGGGCTTTTTCAAACTCCACTTTCTGACAGCTCAGTCTGTATCAACCAGTGAAACAGGTTTAGAGCTGCTGGCAAGCAATCATGAGCTACTGTATACCACCTTTTGAGGAACAGAATCAGCCTGGAAATATTTCAGGCAAATCAACTAAAAATAGCAAGCAGGAGATAGGGGAGCACTTCTTTCCAGAATTCTTTCCCTTTCAAAGACCTCTTGCCAAAAAGTTTATCAGCTTTTAGCATTTCCCTGCAACCCCATAGGGCTAGAAAATGCTAGAGAGCATCAGCAGCAATAGGCTTTCTTATCTGGCTGCTTCCTATAACCACTTTAAACAGTATTTTTTCTCCAGCTTCATTTGATTATAGCTAGTTTGGACATCACTTTGAACAATGCAGAAGACCTCTTCATACAGAAATTAAAGTCTCTTTACATCTACATCTTGCAAGAAAATTATATAATGAACTTAGATCTACTACTCTATTTTTGTGTGCTTTTATACAGGTCACATCGTAAGTCAGTCTTGACTTGTAATACAGATGTATTAATCTCCTCCACTGCCAATGAGCCTTGAAACATCTGACCAAAGTCTTACTTCAATTTAGTTTATAAAAAAGAGAATCATCCAATTTATAGTTATATGCAAGAAAAAAACCACTGGAGGAACCAAAGTGTGTCAGTTATGACTGGAGAATAACACACAAAATTCTGTCTAAAGTAACATTTTGAATAGTTACCACATGTAGTAAGGTGGATCCCAATACCAGAGCCAAGAGATAACAAATGAAGTCAAAACAAACAAAACATTAGCCCTGCACAGCATGTCGAGGTGGCTGTGGAATGTATAGCATCCATAGTGTCTTTCCTATGGCCTAAAAGCCTACATGGGTTCAAAAAGCCAATCAGCTATAAATGTTTGGAACAAAAATGCATAACTTTTTTTATCTCTAGCTTAGGAATTCCCTAAACTGCAAATCCCTGGAGATAGGACTGGATCATGGAGGGGTATCCCTGTCCATACTTACACTCCCCCACGAGCACTCATGAGGAGCCTAGGGCACGAGTACAGGAGGGGGGCAGCAGCACCCCGCACTTGGGGAAATTGCAGAGTGCCAGGGAAGAACCAGGCAAACTACCTGCATGATCAAGGCGTTTCTCCTGTTCAGGGGCACTCAAGACTGACACAGTAGGCCAGGGCTTTAGGCTTGGTATCTTAGAGGGACAAGCCACTGAAGCAGACAGACATTTGGAACAGCCATACTGGATCGTAAAAGGTACAATGAGCAACAGAGACACATGGCAAAGATCTAATATGCTTTGAAATGCTGGAGCAAAGGAGGGGCAAACAGACAGGTGAGTGTGTAAGGCATGTATTTTCTATGTTTATAGCTACAGCTAGTTACCTTTTAAACTCATCATGATAAAATTCAGATTTGCACGTCACCATCTCACTGGCTTGACTGTCATCACGACTCCTGACCCCACCAAATACATAAAGCTCAGAGGCAACTCCACAGGCCACTGCCCCAAATCTGCAAATCCAAAAGAAGAAGAAAAAAAGAAGAAAAAACAAAAAGCAACATATCAAAACCATTTCATATATCCTTCTGAACTTTCTCCATTTGTTTACTTTTTTTTTAAATTCATACACCCCCCTCCCCCTTTATACGTTCAACAAGATTAGATGAGTCATGAATATGAACTGTAAGCACTTAATTCAGACCATGTAAAAGAACAAAACAGCAAAGTATCTCTGGTCAAAATCTGAAATTCCAATTGAACTACAATTTCTGGTTTGCATCAGGGTAGTATTAATTGTAACATCAGGAGTGTATTTCTACAAAATTCACATTTATTGCTGGGATGCTTATCTCTACGCAGCCCCATGTTAACTACAGGCCACCATGATTCAGAAAGACATGGTGAAATCCATAGGGCCTGACAGCCATCTTCAGGGATTCATCAGAGAAAGGACAACTTCCTCGCATCACTGTTATAAAAAAGTTGTACACAGCAACCTAGTTCCCCCCTTCCATTCCCACTCACCTTCTCTCTTTCAGAGGACAGATTGCTGTCCACTGCTGAGTCCTAGGGTCGTAACACTCAACGGATTCAAAGAGTTTTCCGTAGGAGCCTCCACCCATTGCATAGATTTTCTTCTTCATAGCTGCATAGCAGCCAATCTTGTGGAAAAATTAAAAAAAAAAAATCTAAAATTACACACAAACACACAGTATCGAGAGCGCAAAACTAACTATATCCACATACACCTGTGTATGTATTTGGGTTGCCTGTTACGCAAACAATGGGGTGCATAAAAATTCTCAGCCACATTTTTGTTTTGGTATATAAATAAAGAAGCTGCTCTCCCCCATTTCATTTTGAAACTATTTGTTACAGCTTTACTTGACGCAAGAGGTTGAAAAGTATATACTTATCTATATAATGTTGGTATTAACTATTTAACAGTGAGTGACGTGATAACGTACGATGTAGTTCTTACCTTTCTAACCATGGTCAAGTCTGGCTGCTTGGTCCAGGTCCGGTTATAAATATCATAGCTCTCCATTGAGATCAGCTCCCTTTCACCATCCTCACCTCCCAGAATATACAGAATTCCATCAATCTCTACCACACCAAAATTATGTCGTGCCTAAGGAATTCAATAAAGTCAACATTGTAGAACATAACTGCCATTGTGAATAAATCAACACAATCTTTTCTTCAGCATATCTTTCTGCAAAGTGATATTGGTATTATGCCTGGGTTTTGTTTGTTTGGGTGTTTTGTTTTGTTTTTTTAAATGGTGAAGTCCTAACCTCCAGAATAAAATTATTAATTTATTCAACTAAACAAAACAAAAGGGTATTCAAAAACGACAGAGCAGCAAAAAGCCAGAAGAGACCACACAGAAATCTAAGAACAGAGCTTGGCCGTATTTCAGTTTGCACAGTAGTGGTCTCCACGATGAAGCTCTTGCTTTCAGGTCTCCACAGCAGCAAAACTCAGACCCATTATCTGTGAAAAGGCAGCTCTTCTATTTTGCATGCAGGAGCACAGCTACCCTCAGTCTCACAGTAAACAGGAAACATAATGTATCGTAAAGTCTTACTCATAGTAAGCAGGAAACTTAATGCATCACAACTACAAATGTGGCCAAAACTACAGGCCTTTGCCAACCAGACACTGTAATGAGGAAAATCCTGTGGCAAACAGTTTCTTAATAAACACCCTATGCCGATTTAAGAAGATAAAAACACAGGTGTATTAAGGATACATGTTTACAAATAATAAACAGGGGTTTTTTTGATGGAATGCAAATATGAAGAAGGAAGCATTAACTCAAACCAAACCTAAATATATCTGTGCAAGCCAAGTTCTGTATGTTTGCCAGTCCTCTGTCCATCTTTGCTGCACAGTCCGATCCCTTTGTCCATTTAAGAGTTCTCTTGTTTCAGAAGGCCAGTATATGCAGAACATTAAGTATACTATATGACTGATTCATTATGAAATTCCTGAAGTTTTGTAGTTCATCTTTACAGCTAGCTCTTCACTAATTGTTTCGTTTTTCCAGATCCGGCAGCCAGTATCACACCACAAGTATAACAACAGGATATAAACAGGAGTCAGTCTGTAGCATGATTTTGAATGTGTAAGATGCAAGTGACTGGGGATTCAAAATAAAACTTTGCAGAAAAAAAGGAACATTTTGCCAAAATAAAAACTTAAATCCCAACAGTTAGAGAGTGATCTTGCCTCATTCATTGGTGGTAAGGAACTCCATGAATTGGTATCTGGATCATACTTCTCCCCAGAGCTTAGCGTTCCCTTGTTTTCATCCTGACCACCAAGCACAAATAAAAATCCTTCTGTAAAACAAAATGTAACATGATCTTGAAAACAGGGCTCACACCTGTACACTGAGCAAGACAACGTGACTGGTGAGCTGTATCCTGGAATTCGCTAAGAGATTCAGACCAGTCACAGGTCAAACTCTGGACTGGAGAAGGTAAAGCACATATTTACACCTGGGCTCAAGTCTACGTCTGCAGAGACTCTTAACATACTCAGTGATGCAGCAACTATAATTTACTTAAAACACGAAATACTCCTGGAGACACAGATGTAGCAGATTCCCACAAAATGCTGTGGGAATAGTGATTTTAAGACACTTAGATGACAGGGGTTTCCACAGAATCAAGTAATGTTCTGGGCAGACAAAGGGGAAGCATGAAATAACCCCAGTGCAGTCAATCTTAAAGAAAAAAGTATTATTATAAGCTGTATCTCAGATTTTGAGGCACTGGTAAGTTTTCATAGTATTGACTTCACAAATACAAAGTTCCCCTTTACCTGCTGACAATACTCCATGATTGATCCTTGGAATACTCATAGGAGCAAGTTCAATCCAGAGCTGTCTATTGGGATCATAAAGAGGACACATACATCGCATCACTGAGGTTGGTTTCCGTGATCTGAACACAGGGTAGGGAGGGAACAAACAAGAACAGAAAGACAAGACAGAGTTTTACGAGTTCACTGTTAACAACTTGTGTCCAAAGCTTGCTTGTTCATGTTTTAATATATATTCATAAAACGTGGCATTTCCCTGGTAAGGAGAAGACCCCCAAACCAAACGTGTATAAACTGAGTTTTGTACAGACTGGAGACATAAAAAGCAGATACACTTCATTCGTACTCTATCTGCCTGTAACATTTTTTACGAAGGAACTTTGAACAGACTAAAAAGAACTGATAGGGAGTATTAATAATGTCTGAGTAAAGTGATCCACAAACTGATATGCAAAATATTATTTGAGTATTTTATTACACTTCTAAGTGCTAAACTTATTTAAACAGGACAAAACCCTCCCCTCTACTACAAGAGGTACTCAAGAAAAGAAAGGGATTATTGTGTGGAACAGAACTTTTCAGCCAGCATCTCAGATGCACCAATAATGACTTTTTTTTTTTGGAACCACAGCTATTATAAACAAAACAGTTAAAGTATGCGTTCATTGTTTTTAAGATTTATTACAGATGCTTTTCAGATCATTACAAAAGTGTTTCTCCAACGTTCTGTGTTTATTTTGAGTAAAGTCTATTCAGTTAAAAAAAAAAAACAACCCAGCCAACAAACAACACATCCTACTCAAAGTCTACTATATGATGAATGTGAGAAAATTATCACAAAATAACTATTTACTGCTGAATCATTCACAAAGGTATTTTAGGTGTGTCTGGACAACTTAAAACCAAACTCAAACAATAGAGTAATAAGCCCATTAGGCACACATATTCTCTCTGCACTGTGTTTTTAGACATGCCATGAATGCTAGACACTTGTATTTTTACCAGATGTGACAACCTGTGATGCCACTTCATACTTACACTCGTTCTTCTCCACCAACAGTCACTATACACTCCGAGTAACCTCGGGGCTTGAAGGAGGCCAGCATTGCCTCTCCCTGCTGGGGTGGCGTGAGGGGGATATTATTGCATTCTTTGACGATCTCCCGTACCAGTGGTTCACTCATCATCTGCTCACGTAAATACGCTGCATCTAAGCCCGAAACCCACACTGCTGACATGACATCCTTCATGTGAACCTACAGAAAGAGATAAATGCCAGAAAATCCCCCAACCTTCACAGAACAGCATTAAGGCACTCGTCCATACAGGTGCATCTATATTTACCAAAACCTTAACAGAGTATTTTTGATAATTGAAAGTAATAACGAAATCTACAACATGATGTTACTAAGAAAATACATCAAGTCTTCAGAGTTTCACTACAAACGTGCTACTTGCTTTCTCTCTACAAAAACAAGATTATATCATCAAATGCCAAGAAGGTACTTACTTTCTTAATGCCTATTAAATAATAAAGACAGCAGATGATACATCATCAACACAGCTTTCACCCTTTTACTGTAATCCCGCTGTCTGCATTTCAGGCAAAATTAAACTAATTCTGTAAGTGCAAGATTAGCCCGGAAAGAAATGTATCTATTGTAAGTTCCCACCGATTAGAATACACACGCCAATTTGCACCACATTCAAAACAAACATTTGGATGTCCTGACCTTTCTCGATTCTGAATCATGAGAAATCCACCTAATCACTGCTTCAAAGACGTATCTTTCATTTCCAACATTGAGCTTTTCCATTGACAGCACTTCTTTCAGTTTTTGAGGAGTCAGTTCCAAGAATTCCTCTGTGCTGCTGACATCTCGAAAGTGAGTTTCCAGATACTCTGAGGCAAGGTAGTGAACATGATGCAAGCAATAGTGCAGTGCAAAGTCCCGAATACCAATACAGTTCTCAGCAGCTATGCAACCTTCTAAAAACTCACAGCAGAGAGTTTTTAAGTCTGTAAGCAGCAGGAGATCAGCTGCCTGTACCACATCTTGGATAGTTTCTTCATTTAGCCTGATCTGCAAGAATTAATTTAAAAGTTATAGCAACTATCACTCATTAGTTTCATGACATGTCCACATTCATTACACTCATTCTCAGTGACTGAAAAATGGAGTATTAATGCCAGCATAAAAATTATGAGAAATTGATATGACTACTATGCGTTTATAAATTAACACAGGGATGGAAAGGCACTTGCTTGACAGAAGGTGTCAAGCAGAATTTTATGCCTGAAGTAACCATAAAATTACTCATCTGATCTGGGAACCGAAAATGAATTCTGCTGCAATAAATAAATAATTTTTTAAAATGCGTGTCCAGAAGAGCCTTTTAAGTCACATCTGCCTTTTCTTTTTCTGCTGAAAGTTAAACTCGTTCAGCTATCTCAACCTGGTTCCGAATAAACCGGATGCACCAACTTTAATTCCTGCTAAGGCTACTGGCACAAAGATCTGAAGGGGCAGGCTGTCAGCAGCAAGAGGCCAGAGAGGTGGGCACAAGGGTCAGTAAGGGAGGGTGCCTGATGTATGGTAATGTTCAGTGATGGGGGTCTCAATCTCTATTGAAATCAAACCAGTTCTCTTCTACGGCTGTCAAAGACTGCACGTTTTAAAGCAGGTTACCGAAGGTAGCCACAAGTTTTACTACAAGCATTTGACATGGACTCTATTTTAGAGTCCTCCCCCACTGCACAAGAAGAGCAGAGACAGCTCCTGCAGAGCCTATTGCCTCTACTTCACGTGCACAGCCCCAGTGTGACAGACCGCTTTGTGGAAGTTTTATCACAAAGCTTTAAACCTCGATAGGTTTACTTTTCAGGATAGCAGTGTTAAAACCCAGGTTATTTTGCCAAATAGTTCAATTTCTGTCTAGTTTTTTTTAATACCATACCTGCCCACTGAAGATGTAATCTAGTATCTCTTTCATGATATCAACAGATATCCCTTCAAGTTCAATCTTGTACGTTGAGCCATCATCCTTTGGAGGATTATAATTCAATTTTGTTCTAAAAGAGGAGAAAAGAAAAAAAAAGAAAAGCTCACAACCTGGGCATTGCTCGCTCTCTGTTTTCTGAAGAAACAAATGCTAGCTATGGATCACTTGAGCTGTAACAGAGATGTTAAAGCCTTACAATATGATGTGAAAATTGTCTCTCTTGAATTACCATAAAAAGGATGAATGTATGGTCTCTAATATCGCTGATCACATTTCCAAACTGAACAAATACATTAGTCTTGCAAACTACCCATAGCATCAAAGAGCCAAAGGAATTTTTTCTCAGCTTGTTCATCACAAGCATTCAAAAACTTCACTCAGAACTTCAAACAGGACAGCAGCTCTGCTGACAGGTGAAACACAAGAATTTGCTTTGATAAAGGTGGAAAAAAAATCCAAAACAATACAAAAAAATACTTTACCAAGAAAAAAAAAAATTACGGTGAGCAGATGTGATCAGAATATACACTGGCAACACAAATATTTGCATTGCATTACCCTTTTGTGTAGTTTATGATGTTATCAGCCTAATGCTATGCCTGGCTGTAACCGAACTGTGTGCTCACAGTTGTCGGAAACAGCCCATGTGCTGCTCAGCCGAGCTGTAAATACTCATCTAAATCAGTGGATGCTTCACTTATGAGCAATTTCTTTAAAAATACCAGGAACAGTTTGATGTGCCTTTGAATAGAATGGAGGGGGACTGGGAGAAAAAAGATGAGAAAAAAAAAATAATAATGATGATACAGCAGACAGCTTTGGTTTCCATCATCTATTACTACAAACCTTTTCCCCAGGAAAGACAACTTCAAGTGTTCAAAAGGAAGCAGCGTCCACCAGACTAGCAAAAACAGCCACAACAGCTCATAAAATACCATTTTGAACATCTTTTTTCCATGCTTTAGGTAACCAAGAATACATTATATAAAGATGAGAAAACTTGTTTCACTGCCTCTGTGTGTGTATATATGTAGATATCTATATCACAGTACATTTAAATAAAAGCCTTTAAAACCATTTTTATATTCATTTGAATATATTCTTAGACAGAATTAGTTTCTTAATGTGAAAAGCTGTGGCTTTGCCAAGCTGAAAGCGTCCAGTTTGTTGCAGCCATCTGCTATCCACACTCATACTAAGTAAATACATAAATAGGACTTAGCTAAGGGCAGATTCTGCTTCACTTACTCATATCAGAATAAATTAGTTTCTCAGAAAATAAGACATAACTCACATCAAATAAAACCCTAGTCTATAAGGAGTTATTTTTAAATGTGAATAAGGACGGTAATTTTAGCCCTGAAGTTAATCATATTTGTGGTCTTGTTTTCACATCGCTTTTCTATGCTGCGAGAGACCCATCGCCAGCGAGCAGCACACTGGGAGATGACACCACTCTGATGCACACGCACGCCTGTACGAGGGCTGAACCTAAGCTGCTCCACTCTTGTGTCTGTACAGCACCTAGCACAAGTTACAATACAAATAAGAACAACAACGTAACATGGATTAGGAAATTGTTTATTTCCTAACACTTGAAAGGGGATTAGAAAAATTAAGCCTGTTCTCTAAACAGTCTACATGACTTCCAGTAAAGCACGTGCTGCAATAGCAGACATTGATTTGCAACTTGACAGCTGAAAACTAAACCAAATACACAGCTCAAGCAATCCCATACAACGTGCATCTCAACTCACGCCATCCTCGCCCACGTGGAACGTGCATTTTTCATGCCTCCAACTCCAAATGAATGAAAGAGCATATACACACAGAGTAACACGTGTTTTCAACTCTAACCCAGTATCAAGGCTTCGTTACACATATTTTCAAGCCTATCCAAACTACCTCAATTTTAATTACGCCAACTATGATTGAGTTTTGGCTTTCTTGGTTTGTAGTGAAAGCTGCATCTTGTTTTCTGGGATGAAATGGTGCTTTCTTTTAATTTAACATACAATATATCAAGGTTTGCAGCGTCTGGCTTCCTTCACCAGAAGAGAGAGACAGTCAGATGGTATCTATGTTTCATATGTATCAGGTACCTATGAGTAGCTGGCATGGTCAAATACACAGTGACATCTACACAGAACCTGGGTAGTCCAACACATTGTGGACACATTGCTTAAAACAGATGCAAGGCATGTAATCAACATCTCCCATGCCAGCACTAATGGAGAGATTAGGGAAGGGACTAGTGCTACTTATCACTCACTTTCATCTTAACATCCCCTGTACACACCCAAGCTAAATCACCTCTTGTGTGGACTTCACAGGCGCCTCCTAGTAACAAGAAAGTGTTGTTCAGAGTTTTTGGGTCTTATCAGGCTAGATGTTCTAATTACTGTGTACTTTTGTAGGCATCAACAGTTGTTAACTTGAAAAGAAACAAACCAACCACTGATGCAAGCCCAACACACAAAGCAGAAAAATAACCTTGAGAACAAATAGATTGATTTCAAAGTTATAGATACTTGTATGTGGGCAAATATTCACCTTATGGAAATGCATCCGAGTTCAGACTAAGCTTTGTTCCTGCCATCTGTTCCAAGACGCAGTAGTTATCCATATGTCACACAACCTTAAACTTAGTTTAACAACTATGTCATTTATTTTGGTACAAAGATTTCTGAGCTATGACACAAGAACCATTCCCAAACAGCAGCTGGAGGTACTCCTTGTCACACACGTCAAGTACTGCAGGACAGCTACTGGCTGTTGGGAAGAGGGGAGGGGGAAAAAAAAAAAATCACGCAAGAACACATTATAACCAGGTTTGGGGCTGGAAAAGTTTAAGATGGAAAACTGTGAGTCTAGTGTGGAAACAAAGCTGAAGGAGGAGAAAAAAAGCAGGAGGTATGTAAGTGGAGGGCAAGGAGCCATGCCCCCTCTTGCATCAGCCAGCATCAGCTGTTACCTGCACCCACACCTCGCCAGCAAACTGAGGTCTGGGCACCCTTGCCGTAACACACGCAACACATAGAATGAGAAAGTTTCAAAACACGTTTGTTCCCAGTTCAGAAAGACAGAGCGGACAGCATGTTGTGAAATACTTAACCCTGGTCCTCTATCAAATTTCACTTTAGAAAAAACATTTCTAGCTATGCTCAAGCAGAGATTTTCCAATCTGTCAGTATCCCAGGAAGGAGGATGTTTTCTTCCCACCATGCTCTTCCTCACGGCGATTCGTTCAGCCGATGATTTCTGTGGCAGAAAGCTAGAAGTGGCCATCAGCAACCTAGGTGCAGAGATGTGCCCAGCTGCAGCATGGCTGCTTCTAACACACGCATATGGGAGCTTCCTACTCTGGACAACATTTGTAATTACTTTAAAAGCACTCTAAGTTGCCAAACCACAGCAGAAAAGGCTGCCTCAATCTTCCTTAATTCAGATGAAAGACCAGAACATCCAAGATTTAGAAGGAAACAATCCCCCCCAGCCAACCAGAAAACCCATTAGCTGGGAGCAGAGCACAGCTGAGATGCATACAGAGCTGGGGGAAACAAACCAAGGCAACTTCCTCCTGTTTTCTTAAGTAATTTAATTTTGAGCAGCTTGACGCCATACATGTTTTAATTAAAAAAATGGAAAACTTCCTTTTAAGAAGATCATCACTGTGAGTTGAAACTGCTTCCAGTAACATAGTGTTCTATAAATGCGTAACATTCACCCCAACGTCTCGCACCTGGTCAGGAAATCTGCTCGGCACATACTACACCTTGAGCAAGTGGCATAAGAGCAACTGGGTTTATGTTACATTTTGATGTTGTGTGTCTGTGTGACAAATTTAGAATCTGCTCTTCCACATCACTTAAGGAATACAATCCTAATGAGTCAGCTCAAATGACACTACATAAGGCAGAATGAGGAAAAAAATTCCAATACCTCTTCTGTATATGTAAGCAGCAATATAAGCAAGGCAAATCGTTAAAATGAGAACAAGGGCTTAAGAACAAATGTTGATATTGCTAGGAGTCACAATTCACATCTAATGGCATAAAACAGATTCAAGCAATTAAAAAAACCCCAACAGATAAATTTAAGACTGTCCACAGTTCTTGTTAAAATTAAGAAGGATCTTCCAACTTACCTCTCATTTTAAAAGAGCAAAACAAAGAAAAACATATAGTTATACTTCCAACCTTACAGCTAAGTCCATATGAGAGCACTGTTGTGGAACAGTTAAGATGCACAGGAAGCAGATTCAGAAAGGGTCCCTGTGCCTGAAAACTTGTTTTTCCTACGTTTTACAGGCAACTGTTTACAGGGGATGGAATAATAATTTTAAAACCCAACCAAACAAGACAACAAACAAATGAAAACCAAAACAAATAATTCATCCACCACCAATAAAGCTTGTTTTCCTGAGTCAGACATAATTCTGTGGGAATACTTTTATCTTTAAAACCTCTGCCTTATTTGTGAACAATTACGAAGAGATAACCCATGTATTTCAACAATGGTGACATAAAGGGAACAGTATAACTCTTGGATTGCTTTAATCCTTAGAGCGCTGGTATATTGGTATCTAAACAGGTAGAGAAACCATCTGTCTGCAAAGATTGTGCCTTTGTAAATGGGAATGCTCTAGACCGCATTCACCTCAAGCAGGTTTGCGATATTTACAGTGAACAACAACCGAAACATCTGGGAAACAAAAGACAGACGCTTTGTTTTTGATGCTTTGCAACATCAAACTTTTACCGGCTCTCACGTCATCGCATTGCAAGCAACGCAGTTCGCTGACCTACTTATGCAGCTGTAGCAGGGTGTCAGGAACAAAACTGCAGGAGACGAGAGGGAAACACTGGAGCCTTCTTTCCAAATTACTGATTTTGCCCCAGATTAACCACAAGAGCTAGACTACACAAGCTTTACCAATATTGCCACACTAGCAAACCTTAGCACTAGAGTAGCAAAGCCATTGTTCCAAACCAAAGAGTAATAAAATTGGGTTTTGATGGTATATCCTCTACCCACACCAGTGTTTTGGCCTCCTCCAGAGAGCACTAGCATTTTAAAATGAAGTTATCCCTCCAACAAATGTTGCCAGCAAAGACATGCACCAAACCTGAAAC